TCGATCTTAGTCACCAGTGCTGGGGCACGCAGCTCCCTTCCTCCAGAGTGAAGGGGGACAAGATAAAAATGCTTGTTTGGAATGTGCAGCTGATGCCAGCCATAAAGTGGCCCTTGGGTCAGGACAGCCCAGTGGCTCATGGGCTCAGGCAGCTTCTGCGCCGTTCCAGAACAACATTCTGCAGCCACAGCAAAACTCCGTCCCAGGTGCTGAGTGAAAAGAAACGGACCCTTCACCCCGTCTTTTGGAAAGCAAGGTGACCCTGAGATTCTGCCGAGGGAGCCAGGCTGGAGCTCGAACTGATATGCAGGGTGAAAGCATGTGTGCCTCAAAGAGAAGGTCACGCCCATGTGATGTGCTGATTAATTGGAAATAAAGTTTGCTCCCCCCTCCTTTTCATGTGCTCAGTCATTAATGCCGATCACAATTCCTAGGCTGCCCTAAAAATGGCTTGAATAGCTAGAGAAAGCCCAGGCAGTTCCCTCTCCATCCAGATCTGGAGACGATTAAAGGTTGTTAAGGTAACCAATTTGGGGAACGTGATCCTGGGCATACAGCTCCTGCCCGTGCACACAGACCCACATGCACACACAGATGCACAATCTCTGCAGAAGGGGAAGGAGCAAAAGACACACGGGGAGGAGGTTGACTGAGCCAGCATCCTGCAAACACTCTGGTTGCCATGGCAAAGAATCCTGGATGGCACGTCTGGTCTCCGTCCATGTTGGGGTTGACTGGTTATGTCTTCTCCTGGGAAGCAGCACCCCCCACTGTGCCATCTAGCGGGAGACTCCCAGGTGGAGGTAGAAGCTGTGGCTGAGGTGGGAGATGCCTCACTGTATCATGGGGAGGGGTCCACAGGGGTAGAGAGCCTTACTGGTCGCCCTCCAGCTGATGCCGGATTACAGCTTCTAGCATCCTTCGCTAGCTGTATGGTAACATCTGTCCAGCTGCTGAAAGAAACACCAGGAACACAGATACAATTTTACATGCTAAGTATAATGACCTTATAACAGCAGAAGGGGGACTTTGGGTGGCAAGGCGCTTTGCTGTGCTTAGTGATACTTTATTACAAGCATTTTTATGCTGCTGCTGTTGAGGAAGACCCTGGACAGCAGCCCATTTTAGCCCTGAATGGCCCTCTGCTTTCACCCCAGAAAAAAAAGGACGACATTCAAGGAAGGGGGGCACTGAAGGCAGGAGGCAGGTGGGATCAAAAGTCCTCTTCAGCCAGCGGGCGCTTGGGAAGATGCTCTGAGAGGCCAAAGCAGCGGGGCAGCAGGAAATGGGCCAAGCAGGGTCTGGCAGCACCTTTTCTGGCCGGCCAGTGGAAGGTGCTGTGAGTCTCTAATCTTTGTCTCCGGTGGACCAGCACGGTTCTCCTCCTTCAGACCTGAGTCATGTCTCGTAGCGGGGGCCTCCTTGCTAAGGCTGCAGTGGCCGGGGCCATTCAGGAACAATCCCCCTTGGGGCTGGGAAGTGGACCGTGCGCCCGTGGAATTTGCGTCTTCTGTTTGGGGCTTGGAGAGTCCCACAGAGAGCCCCTCAGCTCCAACGGTGGGAAGCACCCTTCCCCAAGGCTGGTGAAGCAGGATGGGCCGGGCGGGGTGTGTGGGAGAGCCTGGCATACGCAAGGAGAGGCACCGGGGACTAGAGGATTCTGGAACCTCTCCTGCCCTTCTCCAGCCCACTTCTGGAGCTGGGGCCAAATCCCCCGTGGGTCAGCTGGGCATGCCCCCTACCCCAGTGCAGAGGGAGGGTCCTAGCCAGCCTACGGCCACATATATGCCCCTGCCGGCCTCCCCCAGCCCTCTTCAGGTGCACTGGGCCAGGTGCCTGCTGGGAAAGGCTTTGGCTGGCGGTTCCTAGTTGCCATGGAAACGCCACCAGAACTGGCATTAAAGAGAAATGAAGGGGGCAGTGCCTTGGCTGGGCACAGGAGGAGATCAAGGAAAGAGCCCCAGCTTCCTGGGGGTCCTCTTCCCTTGGTGGGTGATGGGAGCACCCCACAGAAGACGCTTGCCAAGGACCCACCTGTGCTAGGTCCTTGGCACTGGCGTCTAGGGGCACGGATGGAGATCTGGCACCCTCCTCACCACAAACGCTGTGCAGGTCCATTGGGTGCCACTTTGCAAATGAACAGAGGGCAGGCAGGTATAGACCAGCCAGATCTTTGGCTTCAGCATGCCCTGAGCCATGATGGCTGCACTGGCCTGAGGGGAGGGGGCTCTCGGCCACTCAAAGCCCCGCAAAGGCCTTGGGATCCAGGAGCCCAGGAATCCCCTGCCCGCTGCTCTGAATGGAGAACCTCTTCCTACTTGGCAGCTCCTGGAGGAAAAAGGGTTTGCTGGAGGAGCTGGAAAGGGTGGGCAGGATGGTTCTTAAGCAACCCCAGGCGCAGCCCGCATTCTGCTCGTAAAGTCAAACCAAGCCGAGGCACTTTTTCATTCTGAACCCCACAGCTTCACAGAGCGCCTCTTCCCAGAACGAAGCCACTTTGGGAAAAAGGAAGAGATGTTCAAGGGCTGCCCGCCTGCTCCAGAAAAAAAACATTCCTTCTGCTGGGCTGGGGATGGCAGGGTGCTGTGGGTGGAAGGCCTCCCCCGATCCCACGTGGGTCCTAGTGCGCCTCCCCCGCCCCGGTTGGCCCAGGGAGAGAGGCCCACACCACCCCCACCACCAGTATGTCCCCAGCCCAAGAAGACGACAGGACAGCCAGGAGCTAAAAATACCCCTTCCAGTTTATTGGGAGTTTATCTTTCCTCCGCGCTGAGGGCCAACAGGGCAGCCTCAGTACATCCCCAGCGACGAGGAGGAGGCCAGCAAGAGACAGGAGACACGCGCCGAAGTTTCAGACTTCCAGGCAGGCTGGATCAAATCCCACTGGCCACCTGCCCATGTTGCTTGCAGCCCCTCCCCTCTCAACTCACGCCCCCTCCCACCGTCCAGAATCCTCACCTTGCCAGCTGACCCGCCAGGCCCTTTGCAGGCCGGACTCCAGTCAAGGCAGGGCTGTGCCATCTTTGCCCCCACCCCCACTCCTTCCCAGGGCTGGGAAGCCCTTGAGGTGCCCGCGGCAGGGTCTCAGTCAACCGGGAGCCTCACAGCCAGCCCCTCCTTCAGGATCTCTGTGACTGTCCCCACTCTGCCCTGGACTCTGGCAGCCAGCCACACAGGAGCAAGGTGCCTTCCTGCTCGCACTGGGTTCCAACCCACTGCATTTACATGCACCACCCTCCTCCTCCTCCTCCTCCTCCTCCGTCCCAGCGCAGTCTTTCCCTGTCTCACCAACCAGCCTATTCTCCCTACCCAGCAGAGGGGTAGCTGTGAATTGGAGACCAGGCTAGACCGTTGGCTGGCAAGAAGCTGAAGGATGAGGCACCAGGTGGGCAGACGTGGCTGAGCCTTGGCACTCCAGATGGCCAGGGCAGAGGGCAGCAGGAGGCTGCTCACCCTCAGGGGTGTGGGGAGCATGGTTGGCTAGCGGACGCATACGGCTAGGAATGGCACGGAGGACATATCAAAAATACAAAAGGGCCTTGTGGTCTGCTCTGTGCCACTGCCCACACCAAGGGAAGTCTGCTGGTTTCTTAGTTTGGCACAGATGCGGCTGGAGGAGGGGTGTGGATGTGCACGTCTGGGTGATGTGTGTCTAACTGGCTTTATCAAGAACACTTAGTTTAAAATCTTTACAAAGGACAAAACACGGTGTCTCCGTTAGTGTTTAAAGAACTAAAGATCTGCTTAAAAAACGTCTTTTGGAAAGAAACAGACAGACAGAAAATTCCTCTGCAACATGAAGAGAGTGACATGGAGCAAGGGCACCAGAGAGCGCCTGCTAGGCCCAGCACCAAGCCCAGGTGATCCAGGATCCAGTACTGGGGATTAGAAAACCCAGTCCTAAATGGCACCTGTCCACGGAGCCCCACGAGGTACCAGCCATCCCAAGCCACAAGGTGGCAGCTAAGCTTGCAGGAGCCGTTCTCCGTGGCTCCTTGACTGGTAGAGAGAGAGAGACAGGCAAAGCTCTGTCCCAGGAGTGCCCACTAGGAGGTGCCCAGGCTGAGTCACGTAGTTCCAGGCGGCACCAGGAAGTCTCCTTTGAGAGAGGGCTGAGCGGGGTCCCTGTGCTTCCTTGGCAGCGCTGGCTGGACCTGGGAGCACAGAAGGGGTGACCCAGCTCGGAGCAGCCCGGGGGCTTGGCCTTCTCTGCTGGACTCCATTAAGCCTAGAGCTGCTCTGGACATAAGGAGAGCAAAGCACTTGATACTACGAGCCGAGAGAATTTGCCATGTCTGACCGCACAGCGCAAGGTTCAGTGAGGCGGAGGGTGCACATGGCGGCTATACCCGGGTGGTGGAGTGTGAGTGAGGGAGCCCAGTACTGCTGAAGCTGGCAGCGAAGGTGTTGTAAGGATGCAAGGTCTGGAGCCCCACCAGAGAGTTGGGGATCATAGTAATGGTGTTGGGCGTCATGAGGGGAATGTCATCTGGCGAGCGGCGCAACGTGAGCGTGTAGTCTGGCAAGGCGGTGAGGCGGAGGGCATCGTGGGATGGCACTGCCTCGCAGTCTCCGTGGTGGGCCTGGTTGGGCTGCAGCGAGGGAATCTCCTCTTCTGGCGTGTGGCCGATATCGTTAGTGGCAGGGGCGTGCTGCGGGCTCGGCTGGCGGTGAGTGTCCTGGCGCCGCTTGTCCTTCCGGTAATACAGTGCAGCAAAGGCCAGAACGTTGAGGAAGAGGAGGGAGGCCCCCACAGCAATTGTGACGCTCAACTCAGTGGAATAATCCCGGGGGTTCTCCACCAGGAGCGTGCCTGCCCCGTCCTGCTCGGGGTTCCACTTCTCCTGTGAACCCTCACTGGTGTAGGCAGTAGAGATGGCAGGCCGTTTGGTGCTCCAGGCCTTCCCATTGGGACGGCGCGCCATGTGCGAATTCTGGGTTGTGTCGGGCGGTGGCACCTTCGTGGTGGTGGATGTGTAATGGAACATGTCGTGCAGGTTGTACAAATGTGGGACCAGATGCTTCCAAAAGGCAACCTTGGTGGCACGGTAATGGTCTCGCACCCGTGGCTTGAGGCCAATGTGCAGGTAGAGCTGGTCGCGGGGGTTGTACTTGGACCACGCTACTTCCTCAAACCGATTGGCCTTGGTGTGGATGAACTTGGTGTCCTGGGGCACTGGCTTGTTAGGATCCCTGGAAGGAGAGAGAGGGAGGGAGGGAGAGAGAGGGAGAGAACGGGCCGTCAGCAATCGCTGGTGTGTGGTTAACGACGGGGGCCCTCTGGGGGGACTGGTCGGTTGTTAGGGGCGGCTGGCCCCAAGGGACTCAGAAACACGGACAGACACGTCTTTTGAGGACTGCAGAGAGCCGAGCCTTTTCAAAACAAAATTAATTCAAGTTGGCACAGACCTAGAAACGTGGTGTTTCAGTAATCTGAAGGATTACAATTAGACTTCCCCCAAATCACGCTGGCTGGGCATTCTGGGAGCTGCAGTCCCAACACATCTGGAGAGGAGCAGGTTGGAGAAAGCAGATCTAGGGGGGTCAACCTGAGGCTTTTCTTGGGGCACTGGTGAAGCTCCCTTCAGAGACATCAAACTATTGGGCCATGGAGTCCATGCTCTTCACCTCTGGGGAGAACAAGTTTGTTTGTTTGTTTGTTTCTTTTTACTGTAATTCCTTTTTCCCCTTTCCTTTCCTTTTTTAGATGCCTAGGACTGAATCTGCAAAGGAAGCATGTTCTGTACCACAGAGCTACGCTCCCCATCTCCTCCTGCCCATCGATACTGAAAGCGGAGTGTCTTTTCAACGTCCAGTTCCACACAGCAGAACTCCAAAGTGGTGACCTAACTCAACCCTCTTCACTATTCATGTCCTTTTCCTCTCTTTGAAGTCAGCCACCCCAGCCCTGCAAAACCCACAAAACCCGCAGTCTGGGGGAGGCAACGTACCCAGTCTTGGCAAAGTTAGTCCAGTAGGTCATAACAACAGCACTTAGCATGACGTCGTTCTTGGAGAAGTTGCAGGGAAAGAGGTCGGTGGGGCCAATCATGGGAATCCCAAAGACGTAAGGCACCTCATCCCCGTGGGCTGCATCAGACCAGGGTGGCTTCATGAGGCTCTGGCAGTGGTGATAAAAAGCGTAGAAGTATGTGGGGGAGCCATAACGAGCATGAAGGTCAGCAGTCACCACCGATGGCTCAACCCACTGGTGGTCAGTGAAGAGTGCCACTAGGGTCTTGCGTCGTGTTTCTGGGTTGTCCCGGTCAGCCCAGTCTGTGTACATGAATTTGATGGTCTCACGCAGGGTGTCTTTACCCTCTGGGTAGCCATACAGGTTGTCCACAAAATTGGAGACAGAATAATCAAAATCGCTGCCTGAAACACCATCCTCTGGGTCCACGACCCCCTCCACAAACTTCAGGCCCTCACCCTGGTTGACACCAAGCATGATGTCATAGTTGAGAAACTCTCCCTGCTCCATCAGGATCTCTGGGTCATCGGGGATGACGTCCCCATCAATGACAGGCCCAAAGGCCACATGGTAGCGTGCTGGCTGGATGTCCTGCTCCACCAGTTCCTTGGCACTCTTCTGCCGCAGGCAGTCCACCATGTCCACAGTGTCGAGAACATTGCAGCCCACTTTGTCAGCCAGCAAGCTGGTGTACTTCACCGGCTGGTAGTTGACCGCCCAGCTGGACAGAGCTGAGCCACTCTGGATGATGGCTCTCTGAAAAAGACCTGCGAGGCGAAACACAAGCATAGCAGAAAAGGACAGGCCACCCGTCCAGCTTCAAGAGGAGCCACTTCTGAAGGGATGCCTCCAACACCTGCAGGCTTTTCTCTACCGCAAGCAAGGCCTCTGGGAGAAAGGATGGCCCACCAGAGAAGGCTCGTCTCCAGCCATCCCAGCGGCAGGATGCAAATCCTGGACTTGTGGCCTTAGCACTGCCCCCTTCTCATCTCTGCTAATCCCTCCCTGGCAGCCGCGCCATGTCAGCCTGGCAGCAGTCAGGCAAACCTGGTCCTGTTCCACCCAGCCTCCTGGAACAATGGGCAGTGGGGAAGAGGTCCCCCTGCCCCGCCCCCCCAGGCAGGGAGGGCAACTGAGGCTGGCAGCGCGAGGGTTAAGCCTGCGGCACTTAACCCTGCACGTTCCAGAAAGCATGGCCCTCATTTCCTGCCCAGCTGGGCCCCGCTCCGTGCCAATGTGGGCTCGGCAAACTGCACATCCCCAGGGGCACAAAGGAGCCTTTTTGCTGGCGGGAACACAAGAGGCTGAGGACGCGGGGCCTAGGAAGGCAGCCCACAAAGGCCCTGGGGCTGGCAGAGGAATGCCAGGCCGGGCTGGGCGCCAGGGTTCCTTCCGCGGGGTTTGTCCTTGGAATACAAAAAGACCCCAGGAAGTGCAGCCTCTGCAGCTGAAGCTCCTGCAGCAGGAAGGGGGCAGAGGGCACAACTCCCTGGCAGCAGGAGGGCAGGAGCCCTTCCGCCAGCTCCCCATCGTCCTCGGGGGGGGAGGATATTTATATCCATTCTCTCCCCCCACCCCAGCACTCACTTAAAGCAGCTGTGCAGCTCCACTGGGGCGCGTCCCTTTTCTCACTTGGAAGACCCCTGCCATCTTCGTCCCAAGCTGGATACCCTCTTCAGGGGCTTCCCCCAAACTCCAGGGGGAGGATGGACTCCAGCAACCCAGCATCTTGCCAGCCCCTGGCCCAGCCATTCCCAGCTCCGAGCTCCACAGACACACTGGGAGTGCCACTCACAGAATCCCCGCCCCCCAGTCATGCTGGTCAGGGCCATTCTGGCAGCTGCAGTCCCAGCACATCTGCCCTCTAAACTGCTGGGTTCTAAAGTCCTTTTAAACGCAGGTTGTGAAACGTCTCACCTGCCCTGCCCACATCAGCACTCCGATGCTGGTAGCGGTTCTGCTCTGCCTTACCAGCTTTTTTCAAAGAATACCAAGATACCCTAAAGCCTCGATTGCCCATTCTGCTTAAGCCTGGTCCTGATCCTGTGCTCCGGTCGGCCTCAGTCCTCCTCTGAGCTTCCTGCAGAGCCCAGGACTAGGGTGGACTTTTCACTCGGCCCTGAGCTGTCCTGGCCTTTATCTCCAAGAGACCCGAGTCCCCCACTGGGTCCAGCAGGACCCACGGCAGGCCAGGGCTCACAGCCTTCACCCTACTGGGACCGGGCCCTGAAAGATCCACCTTCTTTCAAAGCACAAAGCTCCCTTGCAGCCTCAGGGCCAGGCAGGGGCGTGGGGCAGCTCCCTGCTAACCGCATCTAGATATTCAAGGCTGCCAGATCACATTTGAACGCTGTGCATGGGTGTGTTGACTCTCCTTGTGGTCAAACTGCAAGCCACACACATTATGCCCAAAGGAAGGGCAGGAGCAACTGCTTGGCCCCATGACACTTAGCCAGACCCCTTTCCAGCACTCCAGACCAACAAGGGTTGTGTGCTCTGGCTCAGAGCTCTGCCTGGCTGGATTTGGCCCTGGAACTTCTGGGCTTTCACCCTATGCTGCTCACCCTTCCGAAGCTCTTCATCCTTCCAACAACCAGGCAGTTAAAAAGTGCCCTTCACAGCCAACTTGGCCACTGGGAAGTTGCCAGGCTGCCCTTTGCATCCGGGGGGTGGGGGGAAGATGCCTCTGCTTGTCCTCTGGAAGAACTGCCAGCCCCACCTTTTGAAAGCTGCTTAATATCTTCATGTTCACCACCAAAGCGGCCTTCCCCAACCTGGTGCCCATGCCCCATCAGTTCTGAAATCTTGGCAGCTGAAGCCCAGCCCATATGGCGGAAAGGCTGCCCAGAAACACCAGGGATGGGGAGGGACAATTGGTCAGCCGTCCCTTGCTGCTTGGCAGGGGATCCAACAGAACCCAGCTATGCCACCGTTGAGCAAGAGAGCTTGGCTCGTAATAGTTCAGGCCCTCCTATCACAGGGCAAGGGAAAGTGGCAGACAGATGGCAGGGAATTTGTCCCCCTCGCCCACCTGCTGCACCTGCTCTGAAAGCAGCTATTTGAATGTTCTCCTGGTGGGTTTTTGATTAGCTTCACAGGCCCCAGAAATGTGTATCCTGCAAATGACCGAGCTAATTCTATCACCTTCCAGCTGCTGGGTACCAGAAAGGGATGTATCTCCTCTGCACACACAGCAGGGTGCAGAAACAGCTCGTGCGTATTTTCTCCATCTCTGGGGACACCCCGCCAAGGGGCAAAGCGGTGCTTCTCCTCCCCAGGCTCCCCCCTCAAATCACTGGGGGCGGTGCTCCTTCATACTCCCGTCAGCTTCATGGGCTCACAAACGAGTGGTTGAATCGAGCTTGGCTGTCCAAGAAGAGGCAGAAACCCCCCAAATGAGCATCTCCTGGGTCACTCTGGGGCTTCTGCTCAGCAGGCGGGATTCCAACTGGTGCCTAACGTATTCTGGCAACAGAGGAGGAGGCAGAAGTATGGCCCGAGGAGCCCGAGCAGCAGTCCCAGCATTCTCCAGCCCAGCAGAGGAACCCCTTCCCTCCCCAGGCAGCTGTGTCCTGGGGGACCCTTGACTAATGCAGTCATCTGCCCTTGCTTGCCTCCATTTCCGCAGAGGCAGATCCCTGTGAGACTCCTCTGGAGGCCCATGCAGACAAGGGCTTTTGGAGTCAGAAGCCCAAATGCTTCCCGTCCCCCCTCCCCTTTGCGTTCCTGCTTGCGGTCAACATAAGAGGGACCACCTCCAGCATCACACCCAACCCCAACGCCGGCTCGCCAAAGACGTCCCCAGTGCAGGGCTGCCCCAGACCCTTTCTGCTGGGGTGACTGAATCTGAGCGTGGGCACATGGAGCTAAGCTTTTCCTAGCTTGGTGTGCTCCAGATGTGTGGAATGGCGGTTCGCATCCTGGCTGGATATTATGGCAGTGGTGAGCCAAGAGATCTGGAAAGTGCCGGGTGGGAATGTCACCATTGGCCCTTTCCTCATGCTTGCAGAGGACCACCTGTGGCCCTCCAGAGGTTCAGCAACATCTGTGGGGGCACAGGCAGACCCTCCTTCTTCAGACATGTGCTTCCAGAGCAGTGCTGCAAATGTGCAAACACCCAGAGGCCCCCTCCACCCAATTCTCTTTTAAGGGAGATAGTCAGGAAAGCATTTGGGGGCCCAGAAAAGAAGGAAGCCGTCAATCGCTTGCAGGCCTTTGGGAACGTGTGCTTGGTCCACCACCTGCCCATCCTAAGAGGGTGTTTGGTCCTGAAACAAGTTCCTAGCAGCAGCCCCATCCCGACTTCTGTGCAGCAGATGCTTCTCCAACCCCAAACACCTCAACGGGGTGACAAAATTAACGAGGCTGGGGGGTGGCTCGGCCAATTCCAGTCCTACTGGGAGCTATAAAAACACCACGGAAAGATGAGCCAACCCCGAGATGGCAAACAGCTGGGTGCGCTACTTTTCCAGCCGACCCCACAAACTCCTGTGCAGCAAACTGGATGCACGGGCAGCTGCTAGATGTTCAATGAAAAAGCAGCACATCCTTCTGAACCCCGGGGAAGCATCTATGCTGTGCTACCATCCATGTGGAGGGCATAGGCACTGTCCAGCAGGGACAGGGGACACATGTAGATATGCAACAGTGATGCTGGGCTGGCTGGAAGCCACACGGGTTTTAACCTGCAAATTCCACCTCTATGGGATCTAGAGCTGGCAGGGCCCTCAGAACATCCAGTCCGGCCCCTCCTCAGGGGAAGAATCACATTCACGCCTCGCTCGGAACGCCTATCTGGGCTCTACGAAGGCGCTCCGTTGTCCCTGAGGATCAGCCAGCCCAGACGGTATTCAGACTCTTGTGCAGAGCATGACTTTTCAAGGCTTTGCTTGCTTAATTTGTGCATGTTGGGGGCTCGGTTCCTTCCTGGCCTTTGACCCATCTTTGCAGTTGGGTTTTTCTAAAGGAAAAACGTGCAGACTTCCTCTGCCTGACTGAAACTCCTCTGCCAAACTCTCCTAGACCATATCTGGCCATAGGTTGCAGCTCCAGAGTATTTTCAGCATCTGTGCATGGAAAAACTATTGAAGAGGGCTTGGCAAGGGCAACGTCCCGAGGATGTGATTCTCCCCAGAGAGAGGTTCACCTCACCTACGGAGGGTTCTCTCTCCTCCCCGAGCAACCGTCATCTGCTGCATCTCATCTCCATGGCGGAGAACTTTCTTCAACATCTAAACGTGCCATTGCACATTTCCCAGTGGTCTTTGTTAACTTCATTTGTTAGTTTATTCTGAAATAGAAGTTAGTGCTTTGTCACCTCCCTCCTCCCTCCTTATATCCCTGACTACAAAGATACAAGGGCATTTTGAAGTGTGTTATTCCACATTATTTTAGGAAGAAATTACCTAAAAACGTGGAGGATCCAGGCACGGCAGAAGGTGCAGAAACAGGGATGAATCAGGCTCTTTCCCTAGTCTTGGGAGGGACCAAAGTTCCGGCTGGGCTGATGGGCCCCCTTACCTTCAGAGTGGTGTGACAGCGTGAGCAGGCTGACGCAGGAAGCACCAATGCCTGAACCAAAGACGGTGATGCGCAAAGGGTCGCCACCGAAGAAGGCAATGTTTTCGCTGATCCAGCGCAAAGCCTGGATCTGGTCCAAGAGTCCGTAGTTGCCTTTGGCCGCCTGGTCCCCGGTGCTCAGGAACCCTGCGGGCAAGGAGACAAAAGGCGATTGCTCACCACCCGCTCCGAGGCTCCTCGGCCAGCCCTGCCATCCGCCCCACCGCTGACCAGGCGCCTAAGGGCCGGCTCCTCAGCTCCATCCTCCCACGTGGGATTTCCACAGGGAGCCCATCGCCATTCCGAGAAGGCCCTGGTGGTGCTCTTCCCTAAGTCTGCGTGGGTCGGATGAAGGGATGTGCGAGGCGACTGCTTCTGAGAGCCCGCGAGGTGACATTTAGAGGGAAGCGACTGCTGCAACTAGGCATTTGCTCCTCCCCATATTTGGGGTTAGGTCCTCCGCCCCAATGCTCAGCTTTTCATTGGGACCTTGGCAACTTGTCTGTCCTTTGCTGGACGCTGCTCTTAGGCTGGGCTTAGAAAAGTGGGCTTTAAAATCCTCCATGGCTTTGTCTAACACATGGTACAAATCCATGGTAGGGTGAATCCTACCAAGTCCAGGTCAGCGCCTACCGCGCCCTGGTGTAAGGCCTAGGAGCCGCGAGCTCCTCAGAGATGTGTCGTTCCCAGGCTCCGGATCCAGGTCCAGACCCACCTGGCAAAAGCTTTCTCCCTCTGTGCAGAGACTGGACTGCTGCAGCCTCGACGCAGGGACCCACAAACGCAAAGGCACCACCCTAGGTTAGGGTGGCCAAAGGCCCCCAGAAGACAAGAGCAGGGGGCCCAAACTCCAAGGCAAAGAGGGACCCTGCCTCCTGCCCCAGGGATCCACCGGCCTCCTTCCAGAGGCGGCTGGGCTGCAGAAGGACCCTCTCTCCGGGGAAGCTTATTAGTGGCACTTCTGAGTGGTGCAGAGGAGGAGACGGGTAAACGGGTTTGGTATAACATTTAACCCCAGATCAATACTTGCTGTCTGCTGGGCCCTCGTGGGCAAACCTGGCAAAATTCCAAGCTGGGAATACGGCTTTGAGGGCGGCCAACTTGGCCTAGAGAATGGGAGAGGGCCCTTCCTGGGAACCAGATGCCGGAGGGGGAGGGAACCCTCTCAGGGGAGCCAGTGCAAAAACGGGGGGGGGGGAACAGGGAATCTGGGCTGCCATGGCGGTTCTCTGTAGCCTCGGCCTCTCAAGGACTGCCGCCGGCCTCCCCCAAGTCGGGCTGGAGCACCTGCAGCATCCTGAAAATCTCAGAGCCCCCTCCCTGGTCCTGGCGGCACCTACCCAAGACTCCCACGCGGTAGTTGAGAGTGATGACAATGACGTTGCCGTAGCTGGCCAGCACGCTGCCGTCGATCATGTTCCCCGTGCCTTCCATGTAGGAGCCCCCGTGGATGTAGACCATCACCGGCTTGGCCCCGCTGTCTCGGATGTCTGCAAGGGGAGAAGCTAGAGACAGGAGTCTGGCACAACCTGCTGGGCACCCACCTTGGGCCGCTGGACGTCTCCCAGGGAGGGTGTGGGAGAAGAGGCACAGCAGGCACCTCAGGCTGCTGCCCACAGGCGTCTGGCCCGGCAGACAACGCAAGAAGGACCTAAGGCTTGCAGGTGCTCCCTGAGGTCCCAGGCCAGGTCCCTGGCAGGTAGGCGGGCGGGCTGGCACAGCAGGGGCCCCACCATCCCCTCCCCAGCTCAGAGTCCTAGGGGCCGGGGCTGAGCCCCAGAAAGAGGGCACAGCCAGGGAGAGGAAGGGCTGGAAACAGGCGCATCTCCTGTGCCGGGAGGAGGGGAGGGGGAAGTGGGTAGCCCGCCCCCTTCTTTCTTCCTGTGGGGAAGCGACTGCTACTGGTACTTGCTAGCAAGGATGCGCTCAGCGATCCTCTTGATTCGCCTCCCTCCCTCTCTGCTGCACGTTTCAGGCAAATGCCCAACAGCCCGACCCGGGGAGGTCGGACGGGTTGCGTCCCCCCGGCAGCCGGCCCTGCCTGTCACCTCCACGCCCGCAACGCAGCAGCAGGAGCAGCAGAGGCCCCGAGCGCCAAAGGGGCCCATGCAGGCTCCGGGCTCACAACGCTCCTGGGAGTGCCAGACCCCAGGGCAGAGGGGGTCACCTGGAGTCTGCCCTGTCCAAGAGGCACGGAGGGGGCTCTCTAACAGGGAGAGTCCCAGTCTGCTTACAGGCCTGAAACAAACAAGCATTATAAATGCAAAAACTACAAGCAAGAAGTGCCTCATGGCGACATTTCCTGTAAGACGTAGCGCAGAACCCGCCCTTGCCAAGCGGTGGCACAGCTAGCCCCCCGGGGACCCCGGTAGAGGGTTCGAGGGCAGCAACCCCGCCAAGGGCTGAGGAAGGCTGAGCAGCAGCAGCAGCAGCAGCTCCTGCGCGGCCGCCCTCAACCACCTTCGCTACCTCTCTGCCCTCAACTCTACGACGCTTCCGTCCAGGAGGGCCCCATGGAGAGAACGCCACTGCAAGCACGATAAGCCGCACAGCGCCTGACAGTGTGGAAAAGCACACGCGGGACTATCAACTGCGACTCCCCAACGCACGGCCGGAAGGACGTCCTGTCAACTCGATCCTGCTAGGAGGCCTCAGCCTTGGCGGCCTCACTTCCAGGCCGGGCCCGCCAGCTCAGCTACGCTGGCACCGAAGGTCTCTCCTTGGAGCAGGGGGTGGGGAGCAATGCAGAGGAGGGCGAGTGAGGCCCGTCTTGCCCCAGATGCTTCTTTGCACCTGAAGGACAGCGGGGGCACCGAAGGAGTCCGTGGGAGCTCTTAGTACCTCTCCGCCAAGCCGTTTGCACAGGTTGGCTGGAATTTTCTTAGGGGTCACCTTGACCTTTTGCTTCAAGCAAAACTGGCGGACATCTGGCACTGAGTATGCTTTTCTCAGGATTAAATGGCAGCCCCTGCAGGGAAGGAAGCAAAGCGAGCTCCTTGCGCCCAAGGACACCGCTGCCTGTGGCACGGACAGAAATTGGCAGAGGGGGAAGCTGCAGATTCTGTCTGCTTGCAGGAGAAGGGCACTGCTCCCCTCCTCCGCCCAGTGCCAAGGTGCCATTGGACAGCTACATTTCCAGCCCCTCTTCTGCCCAGAGCTTTCCCTCAGTGCTGTCCAAAGCACTGTGCCAGCAAAGGCTCCACTGCCCACAACGCTGAAGAGGTGTGCTGAGGACCCAGGCTGGACCCAGTGTGTGTCCCCGTGTGTGGGAATGACATGTGCTACCCTCCCCCAGAGGCACTGTTCCTGCAAGCCCACGGTGACCTTCTGCGCCTGCGGCGGGGTGTGGGAAGAGGCCAGAACTCTCTCATCCACGCTGGCACCTGGAGGCCGAGAGGGACCCCGCGGCCCGCTGCCTCAACCTTCCCCAACTAGCAAGCAGCCCAGGGCAGGGGGAGCAGGGCGCCCTTCCCGTTCAACGCTCAGCACCAGGAGACAGAAAGACACAGACAGCGAGGGCTTCCTGGAATGGCAGCAGCAAATGAGGACGTGCATGAGAGACAGAGAGAGAGCAGGTTCATGCATCGAGAGCCACCTGGCGCACACAAATACCTTCATCTTCATCCCCGTCATTATCCGCTAAGTCCTCGCCCTGTTTCTTAGCGCTGGAGCCTGGGGACCAAACACGAGGAGACCGAACAAAAAGGAAGAAGGGGGGGAGAAAGAGAAACAAAAACAGGAAGGAAGAAAACAAAAGAGAATTCAAACATAGCATGGCTGCAGAGAAGGTGGGCAGGTCACCTGGGCTCAGGTCCTTTGCCCCTCTGGCCTCCAGCAGCAGCACCGGGGGAGGGGGCAGAGGCCCCCCGCAGCAGGGCCTGTCCCCAGGGGGAGGGAGGAGGCTGGGCGGAGTTCACAGGAAAGGGGAGGCCGGCTGCCCGTCCTTGCCCAGATGCAGAAGTCAAGCCTGGAGGAGGAAAGAGGGTGGAGCCCACGGGGCCCTCCCTGGCAGAGCCAAGCCCCTTTGGATACGGACACGGGCCTGGCATCAGTCTGGCAGCGGAAGGGTGGAAATTCAGCGCTGATGTGGGATCAGTATTCATGCCCTTGGCATGACTGGTCACTTCCACTCTGGGGTTGCATGGCAAGACCCTTGACTACCCCGTCACATTTGCTTGAACAGGCCTGGGGCGCGGCCTAGCTGCCACATCTCTGCAGCGCATGGAGAACCTGCGCCGCGACTGTCCCACTAGAGCGCTTATAGTGGGGGCGGCCCCCAGAGCTACCCCTCGGCTCTCGGACGCAAAGCGGTCTCCGCTGCAAGGTCCTTTGGACATTGGCTTGCCCGCAGGCCCAACAAACTGCAGCACGTGCTGCCCTCCAGGTGTCCCTCCGGGCCTCTTGCTTCTGCCCTCAGAAAGAGGGGCTGCAGAGCGCTTGGCAAGAGAGTCCTCCTCCTGGCAACGCCGGGGAGGGCTCTTTGCAAGGCCCTTTTCGGGGCTCCCATCCCAGGTGCTCCAGGAAGCAAACATTAAACGTCTGCCACATCCCAGGCGGATGCGCATTAGAAGGCTGCTCATTCCCCCCTCGGGACACCCCTTCTGGGGCCAGCCATCTCGGCGGCATCCATTTCAGAGTGCCGAAAAGGTCCTGTCTGTCCTGCGGAAGAGTCGACAGGGACCTGGCTGCCAATTCAGCTTGCGAGACGCACGATGGCTCCACCCTCAGAAGACAAAGGCCAGGGGGTGTCCGTGTGGATTCCCCAGCGGGGAGAGGCTTGGGCCAGGGTGGCCCCCGCGTGCGCCTGCCACCATCCCCTTTGCCCGGCCACAACGCGACGGGCTCCCGCCCGAGACGGGCTGAGCGCAGAACAAAGCACTCCTGTCTCCAGCTGCTGCTCAGATTCCAGGCCCGCACGGTCGCCATGGAAACCAAGGCAGAAAAAGGCTGCGCTGGTCCTCCTGCTCTCGGCCCCACGGGGCGCATCAGCCCGGCCCTTGCCGTGTCCCTCCGGTCCCCTGGCGCGATCCGGGGGCAGGGAGGAGCAGGAAGGCCACCCTTCACCCGGGCATCAAAAGGCTTGCGGGGCATCAGGAGATGAGCAGCCTGCCACGGGCCGCGCTCCCAGAGCAATGCCAGCCGAACAGGAAGGCAGGCTAGCAGGGGGCAGCTGAGAAGGCGAGATGGAGGGCTTGCGTGGGGAGATTGGCCCCGGTGCCAACGGTCTCGGGCAAAGCCTTGCAAGAGGGTTCACCAGCACCGTGCAACGAAGCAGCCCTTTCAGGTGCAATGTGGATGAGAGCCAAGCTAGCTCTGGCTCCAGGGACGGATTAGCCTTGCCCCCGTGCCTATGGCAGCCTAGCCTCGATGGAGCAAGAGGGAGGGAGGGAGGGAGGGAGGGAGGGAGGTGGGGGAAGTAAGGACGTGCTGACTTCTTCAAAGCCCTCCTGGTTCCTTTGCTCTGGTGGGAACCTGCCACGCCACATCAAAGCAAAATGAAACAATAATTCTTTGGAGATGGTGCACAATAGGGGCATCGGGCATTCAGCTGACACTGACACCGCCTTCTTTTTGTCAGTTTTAGACTGAGATGCAAATTCTTGTTTGGCAGATGAACTAGGATATTAGCACAAGCAGAGTCTGCCGTCACAGTGGAAGGCCAGTGAGCTAAAACATCTGAGCTGTGCAGGGAGGTTTGAAACAAAGCCCGGCTGCCCGTAAGGGGATAACTCTAGCAAGCCACGGGAAGGTTGTCAGAAGCTGATTTGCTTTCAGACTCTCCCCTTCTCCCTTCCAGGCTAGTGCAAAATACCCACTCTTAACCTGGCCTCCCTTCAAAAGGAAACTCTTCTACTGAATGGTGGGGAGGGGGTACCTGCTCCTTAAGAAAGGGGGCCAAAGAGGAAAGGAGAAATAGCCATTATGGTGTTGATGTGGTTTTTCCCTCCTGAAAACGGCATGGAATGCAGTCCTTCTTGAGGACTGGCCCTTTCTCCCCATACTCTGTTTTTGCCACATCAGGCCCAGGAGTCCTCAAGGGGAGAGGAAGCCACATTTCCAGACTGAGCTTTATGGCAGCTGCCCTGATGCGACAATACATTGTGGCTCAAGGCGCCCTATGGTGGTTTTGCAACAGTTTACCGTGTTAACTTCCTCCAGACCCGGTTTCTGTTTCCTGTAGAATTCTACGTCAGCATTAATAGTAATTAGCATCAGTAGTGGCTGCTTGCAGACGTTTCATTACCTGGCTAGGGAACATCATCAGTGCTGGTGAGTGTGGGGTGTGCTCCCTGTTTATACAGCAAGCCCCACACCTGTGCACACTGATGATGCTCCCTAGTTGGGTAACAAAACACCTGCAAGCAAACCACCAAGCTCAGAGCGCACCAAGGACTCCACGTTTCACCCATGAGCTACAGAGATTCTCTTCTATTAGTCAACGGGCAAGTTAAAATTCTAAAGACAACAAAATGCTAAACCACGGATAGTTTGAAGAAGGCACCAATGGTTGGATTCACACAATATACTGACCCATAATTCCAGATTGAATAAATCGTACTGGCAGCGTTTCCGCAATACACTAAGGCTCTCAGTCATGGGCCTACATGCTAGTTAAGCCACGTCTTGCTTAACTAGGATTTGCTGAATAAGCCACAACTAACTGAGCTCATGTGATACACTAAGCCATGATTTATAAACCACAACAGCTAGTTCAGTAAACCTGCTGGCACGGACACAGTCTCCCCTCCTATGCCTCGTGCATTTGTGCAAGCCGTGATTCAAGCAACAGGCGTTCAGGGCCTCCCCGCCACTCCGAGCCTCTGGGCAGCTGGGGCGTCTTCCTGCAGGCACCTGGGGCAAAGCCACCCACTTCCATCCCGGGCGGAGAGAGAAGTTGAGAACAGGGAGCGTTTCTGCTTCCTCAGCTGCATGCTCAGGATTCAGACAGAAGAAGCCCCTCTCAGGGTTGACAGGCCTTTGCTAAGGCTGCTGACTCAGAGGAGGGGAACCTGCTTCCAAGCTGCGCCACGTGCCCAGACTTGTCCCTGGCACCCCTCTGGGTGATGCTAATTCTGGTCCTCCCTTCAAATCCCAGCCTGGCTCTGGCGCCCACCCTCCACTCTCTGCAGCCCCTTCTAAATTACTGCTGACTTTTGGCCACTCTGGGAATGACAGGAGCTGAAATCCAACATATCTGGAGGGCTCCAACTTGGGGAACCAGCCCACCTGGAAGCCAACTCACTTAAAATAAGCACACCTTCTTCTTCCCATTCAAACACCTTCTTTTGTGTCAAAATTCAGATGGCATACTCTCTGGGAAAGCGACCAGTCTCCCATTCCTTGGGCACCTTAACGATGCAGGGGCAAAACAGCAGGACGAGTGCACAGCGGGGCTTTGCCGCCTCCAGAACAGGCCTGGGTGGACGACGCTTCCCAAGGACTCAAAAGGAAGGTGGGCACCTCCACACCTGGGCCTTGGCGAAGGGAGAACAAAGGAGACTGCGGGACGGCATTTGACCCGAGCGCTTCCCCATCCTGAAGCTGCTGTTCCGTCACGTGTGGGGAGGAAGGGAGGGGACAGAGCTCCAGAGCTCTTCAAGGGGCTGTTCCTGCACCGAGGGACACGGCCGGGTGGCCCAGAGCTCCGGAAGGGCAGCTGGGGTGAAGCAGACCCAGCGGTGACCCCAGGGCCAGCCCCTCGCAGAGCAGAGCAGCTCAGGCGGGGAGTCAAGCTCAAGAGAGGAGCCCACCTGGGGAGTGCAGCCCTGCCTTGGTCCCAGGCAGACAGAAAAGGCAGGGCCCAGCGCCTGGGGGTGCCGGCCGTGTCCCTGCTCCCCGACCCAGGGGCCGCTGGCTCCGGCAGCAGCCGCACCAGCACAGAAAGGGCACACCCCGCGTGGCGGTTCCCACGGCAGCCCGAGCCATTCCCCTCCCTGCAGAGCCCGGGCCAGCAGGAGGAGCTGCCGCTGGGGCCCTTCCAGCAAGGTCCTCGCTCTGGCCCTTCGCCCACTGGCACCGCCTTTCCCCGGGCTGCTGGAGCAGGAGGGGGGCAGATTCGCTTTCTGGTCTACTTGGCCGTGAGGTGCAGCTCCAGTGTGGGGCAGGGGAGGAAGGAATCCTCTCCCCTGCCCCCCAGATTCCAGCAATAGGTGGCCTGTGCCAGCCAGGGCAGCTTTGCCTATGTGGGAACGCCACCCCCCCAAAAAAGAGAGGGTGCTCTCCCAGAGGACTGGCCAGAGAGCCCTCCCAGATCAACAAGGAAAGCCCCCCACCCCCACCCAGAGAATGAGGGGGGACGCTGCTGTGGCATGGGGCAGGCCAGGCGCCCCCTTGCACTCACTCTCTCACTTGCCTCTCTCTGTGCCCCTCTGCCAAGCCCCGGCTCGCTACCTACCTCCTTTCCTACATATTTTCTTGTTGGGTTTTCGGGCGCATTCCTTGGAAATCCGTTTTACTGTAAAATGAATAAAAGACTACAAAATAACAGGAGGCCCCAGCGGAGGGTGTGGGCATGCAACCCGTCCTTCTCCCCACTCCCCTCCCAGCCCAGCCCCAAGCCCCCCACCCTTGGACTGACCACGGGGGGGCAGAGGGGGGAGCAGAGCAGCAGCTGCTCTGGGGGGACCTCTGAAGGCAAGGAAGGGTGCTGGGAGGGGGGCCGTGTTAAGCGTGAAGCTGCCTCCTCCCTGTCCCGGGGAGGGTGGCCAGCTCCCCCCAGTGCTGCTGTCCAGGTAGGAGACTCCCCGTGGCAGGGCCAGAGGCTCTTTTGCCGGACCCCCCTGGGGTGGGGGGGGGGGGGCGGCGGG